ACCCTTTGACAGACTTCGCAAGCACAATTGCGCACAATTTAATACTGGCGGGGATAGTTAAGTCGCTACCTACCGTGATATATGTCTAATGACGGCCACGATGTCCAATGAGTGGAATATCTTGACGCTTATACATTATGCCTAATTGCAAATTATTATGAGTGGTAACGGCGACACGTGGATTGTCTCCGGAAAATGCTGTGTAATATTGAAGCCCATCTAATATTGTGTATCGATACTACTGTGGTAAAGTGATCATGAGATTTAACCGTGGTGTTGGGACGCAGGATGGAATCAGACGAATGAGTGACAGAAAATGACTGTTGAAGTTATTCGGATGGATCTACCTAACGGTAGAGAAGGAGTATAGTCAAGGATCGACGATTGACCGATCGCGATCTGCGATCGAAGTTTTGGATCACCAAGTTACAAGAGCTGGATCGTTCAAGGGGTAAAATTCAAGTGGAGTACTGGATCGATAGAGGCAATGGGATGTACGTGAACATGCAAGCAAGCTGAAAGAGTGGATCATTTACCCGGATAGGATCACATACCGCGATCCACTACACCGCGATCCACTACCCCGCGATCCACCGGATACCTCATTGGTGGGGACATATAATTGGCATGGATCACCTAATTGGCGTGAATTACGTAATTGGTGTGGATCACATACCGCGATCCGGTACTCTGCGATCCGGTACTCTGCGATCGGCGGTATGGGGCGATCCACTATGGATTATCTGCTGTGGACCACATGATGCAAGAGGTGAATGACATAGACAGGCGACACGCAACAGCAGACCTAGCGAACAGATAGGCATATTTATAGGTTTTGGACTTGGTTGGTTGACCTTTAGCAGAATTGAATTTGCAACGAAAGCCACGCGTCGACTTCTCCCGGGCAGGATCTTTGGCCTCCCGTTGAATAGAGAGTCACCCACGTCTCAGCAAACTTCGCCCTTTGATTTTTTTAGACAGGCGAAAAGTCAATTCTCACCCCCATCAACTGCGATAGGACGCAGTGAACCCTACGGTTCAGATTCTAAATTTCGAGACGGCTCAAGTGGTCAGAAGGCTCGCGTATCAAGCATCACCCCTGGCAAAGGCGACTATGGGAGATCGCCCGAGTCACAAGCGATCGATTGAAGAATTTCCACGCGATCCGCACCTACGTTTGACCGGGTGAAGCATTTCCACCCGATCAACACCTATCCCTAAGACGGTCAAGTTCATCTTCAGCTCAAGTCCACCAAGAAGAGCGCAACTCGCCCCACCGACGGGTACACAAGGTGAGCAAGAACGTACAGAACACGGAATCGGGGTACTTCCCCCCCGTTAGTCGGTCGTCTGGGCGCCAGTGGAGAGTCGGGATCACAAGAAAATTGTGGTCACCACTCCTCCACACTACAAAGATCGATACGCCACCAGCAACCTCATTAAATTTTCTGGAATGTAACGATTAGATTTCCCATAACAAAACACACAAGATTTTAATCTTGTCCGTGCATCTTTCTCGCATCGTCGAGAAAATTTAACGACAGGGCAATGCTAGATAGCGTTACAACAGTGCGCATATTGTCACTGTTGGATGACGCAGCCGGCTCTAAATTAGGCCGGCGCAATAATTACTCAATGATGACGTTCAGTTGTCCTGGCTCATATCCCACAGAGAAATTACACTTCGCGAAGAAAGAAAGCCACCTCAACATTTTTTTGCGAAAGGTGTGCAGTGTTCACGGGCGGGCGCAATCAAGCATGGTCCGTGTAGAAGACGAAATGTCGATTTGTAAGAGATAGACGCGAAACTTGGCCGGTGCATACTTCATGGCTAGGAATTTCTAGTCGAGCAATGCTTAGTTGCTCTCAGCTGGTTGAAGCTGAAGCGACTGATAGCAGACGACGCGTTTCGCACCGTCTGCGTCGTATTGCAGCAACGCACAGTCGACCGCAAAATCGCTGACGTCACAGACTAAATGGAATAGTCTGTCCTGATCTGCAATCGACAAGATATGAGATTGCATCAATCTCATCTCAATACCTTTGAAGGAGCTCTGATTGTCAGCGTTCCGTGATTACTTGACATTTTTCTTGAGTGAACAAGAAAGATGCACAGTCCTGTCAAGGTAATATCTTGAGTACCTATGCAAGTACGCCTCTAGCCCACCAATATTTTGGGGTCCCTTAACATCAACTGGCACAGCCTAGTCGGTGATCACCTTGATCTTTTTAGATCCAGGCGTACGCCGTCTTTACCCACGATGCACAAAAAATGATATTTTGCTCGCCGCTAACATACAGTTCTTGAGGTTGGAATTTGTCTTATTATCGCGCACTAGTGTAAGAAACTTTCGTACGGGAAGTGGGTGGATTTTCAAATCTGACTTTACATCCATATCTCCGCTATGGACGAACTCATCGTCGGTAGTAGATTGGAGCGAAATATCACTCCGATCTCTTTTAGATTTTTTATACAACTGTTGAAAGTGGCAGGGACATTACGTACCCCTGTTGCATGACCAGCCACTCCCATAAAATCCCTCTAATTGTGCTTACTGACGTAATCTGATCGAACTTTTCCATCAGATATATAGACGATTAAATGGCACTCTTAGGCATGCCATTGCTAATAACGCCTTTCCTCGGTATCGGGGTTTGAGCCGGCGTAGTTGCAGCTTTCACCTTGTTGAATACATGCACTTTTTGTCATACTCATGGTGGCATCATACACACAGAAGGTTGAAAGCTAGGTCGGGTAGTTGATTCCCTCAAATGGCTTGCAGCTAAGCACCCGGGAAATAATTTGTCGATCGCTTATACTTGTTCACAAGGCAGTAGCCACTGCTTTATAACACAGTACTTCAGAACGGGTTTCATGTTTCATGACGAGTGCATTTATCCTTTGGCAAGTCTCACGGTACGGATGCAGGGAATACATCCTTGAATTCGGTCAGATTCTTGCATAAAGTTTTTATGCGTGACCCCTAGAAGAGACGTGTATCCTTCAAGCCGAGTCTTATCACCAAAGACACATTCTTCCATCGATGAAGTACTGAGAACTCCTTCATTCTCAGTACATATTACCGCCGGTCCTATTTCGGTGACTCACTCGTCTTCTGCGACTAGTGCGCAGATCCGATTGACATTACAACAACGCAGATCTCGGTAAAAGCGTTTAGGTTTGAGCGTCGAAAATGAGTTAACATCGAAGTGGCAAGTCATTTGTCACTTCGATATCTAAGGTGATGAGAGAAATCTTATTATCAGCGGCGGTAACACAAAACGATAGTGTGTGGGGAGCAACTTACGTCGAGAATAATGCAGATTCTCATGACGTTGCTGAACCAGCAGGGCACTCCGGCCTCACTGACTCCGGCCGTTTTCTGGAGGTTCGCCCACTTGTTGCGATTCAACAAGAACATCGGACACTGTTTCGGGGCTTTCTTGGCCGACATAGGGTCTTTACCTACTTGTTTACATAATCCTTCATTAGGGGCAGTACACTCATAGGCTTAGTGCTCTGTCTTTTGACAACTATTACATTTCTGCTAACGTTTGCACCCTGGAGAGCAAGTACTTTCGCTCTCCACGGAACAGATGTCCATGGGCTCTGTGTAGCGGAGCTACACAGCTCCTTAAGTCAGAGGAAGACTTAACGCTCTTACGAGCAACTTTGGTTCAAAGAACCCGACTCAGAGAGTCAACAGCTCAGAGAGCTTAAAGGGTGGTTCAGAGTACCCGACTCAGAGAGTCAACAGCTCAGAGAGCTTAAAGGGTGGTTCAGAGAACCCGACTCAGAGAGTCAACAGCTCAGAGAGCTTACGGTCCCCGTTCCAGAGGGACCAAACGATTCAAATGAATCACAGCACAGAGTGCTCAATAGCAGCTACCTTTACAGGCGTTGCTAGCTCTTCCGATCAAGACGCCTCGTAAGGCACGTGTCTTATGTTGATCAAAATGGAAACTGAATTTTATTTCTTCATTTAACCTAAAAGAACACCTTAGAACAACGTATTTAACCTGCCCTAAATAACCTCTTAAAATATCTTGCAATCAATTGATGACAGACACCAGTCTTCAACAATTGATACGCTCACTGTGTTCTAATATTACCTTATAGGGTACCCCCCTCTCGTGTGTGCACCACACCTATCGTCGGCTACCAGCCGACGTGTAACCCCGTTACACTCTGGACCTCCGATTTTATGTCGTTACGCTGGACAATACGTAGTAGAATCAGTTTGAGCCTGTCTCAAACTAAAAGCTTTCGACCCGCAGTAGCACAGAAAAGTTTACATCAGCTCTCTAGCATCATGGCTGATGTTGTTTTCTCTCGTTATTCGTCGTCTCATGCTGCCATGGGGCCTTTCATACCGCTCTTGGACCTCATTTATAAGCGGCAGCGCGACACTGCGCTGTCTCATCCTATGTCCATGCAACGACACCGCCTTGGTGATAGATGTCGTAAGATTCACAGTAAAGATGTGCGTGCAGCAGGCACTACGCTTTCACGCTAGGTTGCTCGTCGCATAGACAACTGTTGTGCACACATCAGCGTCCCTATTGCTTGCAAAATAAGCAAAGAAACGACCGACGACTAGCAAGTGTACCGAGGGGCCAACGAACGGACAACTCATGTCTTCATACGGATGAGATTACGTGTCGTCCACGTCACTCTAAGAACTCATCAGCTGACCCATTCCACAGCTTGTAATCCAACTTTTGGAAACAGCGCTCCTCTTCACCCTATCCAAAACCCCTCGAAAAACAAACCACGAACTCAACACTGCGTTTAAACCCACCCGACCGCACGTCCCCCTCCCCTCCTCTCCCCGCCCGCTCGACCGTTTCAAACCCAACCTTCAGTCGTCGCATCATTTATCCTTGTCCAACCCAATGTGTCCCACCCCACCCCCTTCACTCGCGTTCACTATCCCGCCCCGCCTCCGTCCGGCGCCGGCCTGTCCCCTTCACTCGCCCCACCCACCCGCACCTCCAACATGGCCGCGCGCGCGCTCCTCGCACTCGACGACGTGGCTGCGATGCCCGCGCCCGGTCTCAGCGCCCCCACCAGCGTCAGCTTCAGCCCCGACAACCGCTGCATTGCCTTTCTCCACGCGCCCAACGCGCCCCGCGGCCGCCTCGCGCGGCAGCTGTACGCGCTCGACGTGGCCACGCGCGCCGTCTCACGGGTAGCCGCTGCGCCGCCCGACAGCGCCGCCGTCAGCCGCGACGAGACGCTCCGGCGCGAGCGGCAGCGGCAGATGGGCCTCGGCATCACGTCGTACGCGTGGACGCCCACGCGCGGACGGGCAGCGGGGCTGCTGTACCCTCTACAAGGCGATCTCTATTACCAAGCGCACGTGGGGGCGCCGCTTACGTTGCTCGTGGACAAAGCCAGGACCGGTGCAGCAGGAGGCGCGATTTTGGACCCGCAGGTGTCGCCCGACGGCCGCTACGTGGCGTTCGTGCAGGACAAGGAGCTCTACGTGGTCCCGACGCCGACGGGACAGCCGTCAGGACCGCCGCCACGGGCTGTGCAAGTGACGCGCGGCGCGCGAGCAGTCGACGGCCTGTCGAACGGCCTCGCGTGTTTCCTGACGCAGGAGGAACTCGGCCGGTTTCGCGGCTTTTGGTGGTCGCCCGACAGCGCGCAGCTCGCATTCGAACAGGTGGACGAGCGCGCGATCCCCAAGTACCGCATCATGCACTCGGGCAGTGCGACGCCGACGGGAGACGACGTGCAGGAAGACCACCGGTACCCTTTTGCAGGCGGGCGCAACCCCACGAGGCGGCTGGGCGTGATCAAATTGCCACGAGAGGCCGAGCAAGAGGAGAGTGGCGGGATGCAGAGTGGCGGGGCTGGCCGACAAGCGCTGGACGGTGAGGTGCCGACGCCCGTGTGGATGGACTTTGCGTCGCTGGACACGGACTTTTACATTTCTCGAGTGAATTGGCTGCCGGATATGTCGCTCGGGGTGCAGAAGTTGAATCGCCTGCAGACGGAGGTGTCGTTTTTGAGATTTGATGTGGAAACTGGACAGGCCACAACGCTGCTTGAGGAGACGAACCCCGTGTGGGTGAATGCTAGTTACTTGTACCGCAATATTGAAGTGGAGAGCAAGAACGCGTTTCGTTTCTTGTGGGCGTCCGAGCGCAGTGGCTTCATGCACCTGTACTTGTACGAGTACATGGCTGGGGCACGCAGTGCATGGCTCTTGGGCGCTGTAACAAGTGGCGAATGGAATGTGGAATCGGTCGAAGGTATCGACTTGACACAGGGACGCGTATACTTTTGTGGAACAGCGGACTCTCCACTGGAGCGTCATCTGTACGTGACATTGCTCTCCCCGGTCAGTGACCCACCGCCTCATCCCATCAGATTGACTGGTCCAGCAGGCATGCACAACATCGTCATGGATAGCAGTTGCCGCATGTTTGTGGATGTGTACAGCAATTTAACGACACCACCGCGTGCGCTAGTGTGCACGGTGCCTTCAGAAGCCCATATCCGAGCTGTAAAGCCGCTCACACCTGCAGATCCGAGTTCAGCTGCGGAAGTAGCAGCAGCACCATCAGCGGAACTTACCGCGCTATTCCAAGTAGTTCTTGACTCGGCATATCCCTTGACTACTGAGCAGGAGGATTTACGTGTGGCGATGCTTCAAGCCCAAGGCAAACTCTGTATTCCCAAGATCATATCAGTTCCTACCCGCGATGGTAAGGAAACGCTGTTCGGGGCAGTATACTTACCGGATTCGAAGGTGCACGGTGAAGGCCCGTACCCTACAATGGTGAGCGTATACGGCGGACCTCATGTGCAGCGCGTTGCACGCACGTGGGCAATGACTGCCGACATGCGAGCACAGCGATTCCGTGACATGGGATATGCTGTACTGAAGGTTGACAATCGTGGCAGCTTTCGTCGCGGCTCAGCTTTCGAGGGCGCCATTAAGCATTGTATGGGTACTGTAGAAATTCTAGATCAAGAGGACGGCGTTCGCAAATTAGTGGATGAAGGCGTGACGATCAAGGGTCGAGTGGGAATTTACGGCTGGAGTTATGGTGGCTACATGGCGGCCCTCTGTTTAATGAAAGCTCCTGAGACGTTCAATCTTGCTATCGCCGGGGCTCCGGTGACGAGTTGGGACGGCTACGATACTTGCTATACCGAGCGCTATATGTCCACGCCGCAGCTTAACCCGACAGGCTATCGGAATGGCTCTGTAATGGAGGCTGTTGGCAACATGCGGAAGGGGCAGAAGTTACTGCTCATTCATGGGCTGATTGATGAGAATGTGCACTTTCGCCACACTGCCCGACTTATCACGGCTCTGATCAATGCCCGGAAGCACTATGATTTGCTACTCTTTCCAGGTGAGCGCCACTCACCACGTCACCTAGAAGACCGAATTTACATGGAGCAGCGCATCGCCGAGTACGTCGAAAATAACGTGTGATCGGAGCATCAAGCGTTAGTGCAGACGAGCAGGAGAGCAAGCTCTGCCACTCATGAACCGAATAGCGGGATGTGTGGTATTAAATGAACCCGCGAGTAAGTACTGTTTGCACGTCGTTCACCGTTCGTCAAAACTGCCTGTGCGTGTACTCGCCGTTCAGGACTGTTGCAGCGAGGCCTGGATCGCACGCTGGAGCTCGTCCATCTCATCCGTGTTTGTTGTTTCCCCGTCGTGCAGTCCAAACACTTGCGGTCGATGGGCAAACTCCTGACCTGACAGCTCCATCGCACGGCGCAACTGCTCATCGTAGCTACTACCGCTTCCATCTGTCGTCGCGAGGCATGGTTCAGCATCCCCCAAAGACGCCTGGATTGCAGCTGACATTTGTGCATCGAAGTCGCCATCGTTTGGCAAGGCACATGCACCTAACGACGCCTGAATCGCAGACTTCATCTGCTCTTTCTCCGACTCGGCCTTTGCCTTGGCCAAAAGCTCAGCCTGGATCGCAGCTACTTCACTTTCCCGAGTAGCTTCTTTGATCGCTTCCAACTCTCGGCGTGCCTGCGCTTGCGCCGACGGAGCGTCACCGCCATGCTCTGCAAGCGACAGCTTTAGTGTCTCTTCTAAGCTGGTATCCATGGCGTCAAACTCGTTTCGTGATAGCTGTGCAAAGAGGCCAGGTCAGTCCATCGACGAGTTCGCTACGCGACAAGCATCATCGCGAACGCACCATGAGAATGTGTTCCAGCTGCTCCACTTCCGTGCGCTCACGGTTTGATCGAGCGTGCACCTGCTGCTCCACACCAGTGGCATCGTCTCGAGTTTCGCGCGAATTGATACGGCGCGAGTACCCGATATGCCGCTGCTCCCACTGGCCTGGGGCCTCGCAGAGTAGGCTCGCTTGATGATCGGGTCCGGTAAGTGAATCGTAGTGACCTCCTCCGTAGTAGCTAAGCCTGCGTCAACGGTACACTCGCGCGTAAGAGCTATAATGATGATATCGCATCCATTCGTTGCCGAGAATCGTACCGAATAGGAGGTCTGCTGCGACAGAGAGAACTGCTTTCGTGAAGGCAGCGCAACTTTCGGAAGCCACACATTGGATCATAAGCAAACACTTCAGCAGGACGGTCGTACAGCTCGCACAAAGCCTGAAGCTCCGGGTCGTCGCCCCAGACACCATCACACCTCTTATGGCGCAAGTAGCGCATGAATGCTGCCATGTCGCCCACTACGTACGGCTCAAAGTACTCTTTCTCGCTCTCCATGTAGTCCATGCAAGCCGCACGTACAAGTGCATGATGTCGATCGTCACCATACACCTGGTGGCTCACCGAGCGGAACAGGCAATTGCCATCTCCTTCGATATCATAGATCCGCAAGCCCAAGGTACGCTCAAGCGAGTCTCGGTAGTGAGCAAATCTCGGGTTCTGTGCTTGAATGACACGACGACGCGTCACGTTTGGTGCATCAACATCCATTTTCCTCTGTTGCAGCGCACAGCCACGCCCGCGCAATTGCAAGTGGTCGCCAGCAGGCGCCACGGTTGCTGGGGTGAAGCGAACCCACTCGTCATAACTCGAGTCGCGTCCAGCATAGCGCACCAGCATGTTTCCTCCAACTGTTTTCACAGCAATAGCCTCCTTCCATAAGCTGCTATGACTCCCCCCAGGACGTACTTCCACATGCTGGGCTTGGCGAACCGGCACGCTGTCACTGTGCGCCTGCGCGTGTTTTCCACCGCAAACAAATCGGTTCCCCACAACAAAATACACTTGAGCACGTCAGAACAGCTCTGTGGTACCCCTCACATCTCTCCTTTATCGTACCCTCGTGCCAAGACGTGCGAGGCGGCCAGAATCCAGCTGCAGCCACTGTCGCCAGCTCTCGTGCATGTTGAAAAACTGCAGCAGCACTTCCCCATCAGCGACTTGCAGCACTTTGGCTGGACACCAATTGCCAAAGCTGTTCTGGGCGTCCACTTGGTCACCTGCGTGAATCTGACGTCTCCACTCGTAGTCGAAAGCGTCGACGCGCATCATTTCTGTCAGATAACATCAATGGGCAATTTGGTTTAGTTATTGATCACTGCTCCTGCAGCGACGGGGACAATCAGCGAGCGACTGGTGCACGCGCCTTCGTCCATATCTTCGTCTTCATTCTCTGCGCAATGTCTTCCGTCCGTTTGGTCGTTTAAGTGCGCCCTCGGAGACGCAGTCGCTCGCTCGCACACCATCGGACACCTTTTTGTTTTTCGTTCTCGAAGCTGTGTTGTTCGTTTTCATTGAAGACGAAAGTTGCAGCAAGTGGGAGTTGCGTGCACGTTGTGGGTGCTTCGAGCGCAACATAAGATGACCGAGTCGCCATGTGCAGTACGGTGCGTTATAAGCCGCAATAGATTCCTCTATCTGCGCGATACCGACCGTCGCTGCATGTCGTATTTATTCGTATTCTCTACGATGGTAATGTCCGCATTTTTGGACACGTCAGATAGAATACGCCCCAGCGAGTCGCTCAAACCAAATGGAGAGCAGGACTTATGCGCTGCTAATTTTATCGTAACTTGTCCAAATGGCATCGCCCTGTGCGTAGCAAAGCGGTCGTTGTACAATGCTACCTACTGCACCAGCTGATTGTAAACTGCCGATGTTGGCATCTCGACACTCTGCAAACTCGCGACGCTAAAATATTGTGTTCGACGAACGCGAAGAAGAGCGACATGTTGTCAAACGCAGCACTTGCGTTCATGTTTATCACTTGTTCATCACAGCACGGGCTGCCACGCAGAGGCAATTCCAGTCCAGTGTTGTCGGTAATCGACGCATCGCATATCAATTGAACTGCGGACATGTCGATGCACGACACGAAGCGGGCGCTTCGACGAGGCAATAGGTAGCAGTCGGTCTTTGGATTGCAGCCAGAGTCTTCTTGCCGCGGAGAGCTGAGAAAGTGGGGAAGCGTTTGTCGTGAACTGCTGCAGTGACATCGGCATACCGCGCCGCTTGTACTAACCTCGCGCCGACGCAAACATGATCACGCCGTTGCCGTGTTACCCTGCGAGATCTGCCATCTTTCCACATGACGGAACAACCTGAGCGACCTTCTGTTCTCAACATCAAGAGATGGACGTAAGTACCACACGACCACGAGTCTCGCAACACGCGACCGACCGTCAACGCCATTCACATGTGTTTCAAACTGCTTGCGTATTACCCTGCGCAATTACTGCGACTTGCTCCCCTCCATGCTACGAGCTGGATACGACTGAGACCGACGAGGCACTACATACTCTCGTCAGACTGGACCAAGAGCGGCGGTAATAACTTCATTGCAGTCTCGTCGCGGTCTAGAACCGGCCGCTGAGCTAAAAGGCTGCCACGCGGCCTTCCGTTTATTCTTCCATCACAGCGTCTCCGTCATCATCCTCCTTGACATCAGACACCTCTACGGCATCAATCTACAGAACAACAAGAAAAACGGTAACCCAGCATCGTCAACAACATCGTGAGGGATTGGCAAATTGCAACCACTTGCGTACGTAAGGCTGCAGCTCAGCGCCTTCAATAATCGTGAATGGCTGGTCGATGCCCACAACAGCAATCGTCACGTTGCTGGCCGTCAGTTCCTGGTCTCCCTGAAGACAGCCGCGCAGGCCCTGCAGTGCATGATGAATGATCTCGTCCTTGTCCACTGCCACCAGATTGCAACAAAGCCACGCTGTCACACAACCTCCTCTTCCTCTCATCTCTTCTCCTCAACTACTACCCACTTACGATTGGGAAAGCTCTCAAAGTGCTTTTCCAAGTACGTGCGCGCCGACTGCGACCGCGCACCAATGGCAATGCCCCTGTACTCGTAGTAATTGCCCGATGGACACGTCTGATACAAGTGCACCCCCTTTTTCTGTAGTACAAAAGAACAACAGCAGCAACAATAGCAACAACACACATACATACGCAGCCGACGGATCCGACAGAGAGTGAGTATAGATCTCCCCATCGTACACCTCTCAGTTGCCAGCATTCACGTACGTCGACACCTGCCACGAGCAGTCCCACGCCGTACGGACGGCGAATGTACGACTGCGTGCACTCCTGTTTCTTGTCGGCCACGTCCGAGACCAGGCGGCCGACCGTAATGGCACTGCCGTAGACAAACTTGTGGTTGAGGCTTTCCGTGCGCATGAAGCGCGCGAGAGTGCGCGCGTCGGCCGTGAGCCCCGAGATGGCGATGCCCATGTGGTCGTCGATCTTGAAGACCTTATTCTGGTGCTCCGCCAGCTCGAGCGTCTGGCGCTTGAGCCCGCAGAGCACCGCCACTCTGTTGGACGTCAGGCCGAGGCACACGCTGCCTTGCTTCACGGCCTCCATGGCGTAGTCGATCTGGTGCAGGTGGCCCTGCGGACTCCACACGGTCACGTCCGTGTCGTACTGATTGCGGAACATCGTGTGCGCGGCGTCGCCGGTCTCTCACGGAGCTCAGGATACGGGAGGGACGAAATCCAAGACAAGAAGAGGGGGTCGGGCGCTCGACCAGCGTACGTGCTGGCGGGAGGTGTCACTCTTTGCAAAGAGTGACACACTCGCGTCTGCCCGGAGTGTCACTCTTTGCGAAGAGTGACGTGCAAAACGCTATTTTTCGTTTGTCAATTTGTCAATCGAATGAAAGAAAACAGTTGGGAAAAAATTATCGATACACACAAACGCTAACAGACGCAGAGAAATGACTCGCGTAAGGACGGAGTTATTTATTGCGATATGAATTTATTGACAGTCGTTTCGCTTTTACTTCGAGCGGCTCTTGTAGCTGATGCTGATGCTGCGCTGGACTCGTGACTGTTTTCCTGTGACGTGGCAACGACTTGTGGACGTTCTGTACGGACAGTATTTAGGACAGCGTGCAGCACAGCGGTTGGATGAGCAACTAATGAGCAGCAGATATGGCTTTTCTATCGACCAGTTGATGGAGTTGGCCGGACTGAGTGTCGCTGCAGCCATTGGGCAGCAGTTTCCGGTTGATACGACCTCATCGAGAACAGACGAAGCAGTCAAGAGAGTGCTGGTCGTCGTGGGAGCAGGAAACAACGGGTGCGTCTAGAGAGAGACACACACACGCACGCACGAGACGTTTCGTGGTTTGTCCCGCACTTACAGCAATAAGGACAAAGGAAATGCACCTGACGACGTCTTTGTACTGTCTGTGGTGCAATCTTGATGGCAGAGGCGACGCGTTGGTTGCAGCTCGTCACTTGGTGGTACACGACACTGTACATGCTGTGCTGAGTTTTCGTTGGTCGGCGGCGCTTGTGTGGCTAAGCTATGCTCGTTCACGTGCTTTTTTGAAACAAGTGCAGCATTTCGGCTACTCGCCGAGCATTTTGTACCCCAAGCGCAATGCAAAGCCCCTTTTTCAGGTGAGGCAGTGATCGCGAGTGCAAAGTGCAGTCGCAAGAGCGTGGTAAAATCTGAGCGAAGTGGTGCTGGTGTTGCTGTAGGGATTGGTGACTCAGTGCGAGCAGCTGGAGATTCCGTTCGTTGACGATATGCCGAACTCGTACGTTCACGCGGTGTTTGCTCATCCAATCATGCAGCCCAGTAAACGAACACAACGATGGTCGCTTTTGTTTATAGCTCGGCTGTGGATGCAGCGTACGACTTGATTTTGGATGGAATCTTTGGCTTCGGATTTACTGGAAGCATCCGTTCCCCGTTTGACCGCGTCGTCGAGACGCTTCGAGAGTGCCGATCACCGATCGTCTCGATTGATATTCCATCCGGATGGCATGTCGAGAATGGTGCGCTCTTCTTCTCTGTGTCAGGTGTGTTCGCTTGCCGATTGCAAACGCGTGTCTGTATTGACAGGAAACGAAGACGGAGTTGGCCTGGAGCCACAGATGCTGATATCCCTGACAGCACCGAAGACCTGCGCTAAGTACTTCACGGGGCCTGGCAAAACACACTACGTTGGCGGACGGTTCGTGCCAAAGTAAGTACAATGTGTTATTGCATCTGGCGTTACAGTCTTACAGCAAAGTTGAATGTGTGTCCCTCGCAGGTCATTGGCGAAAGAGTTCAATTTGGAGCTGCCAAATTACCCCGGTGTGGAACAGTGCGTGAAAGTACCGATACCGTATTGAGAACACAGTCACGCGGATATCTGCGGTCTCGAGGTCGCGACACAAAGTTTGATGGATCTTCGCTTGTCTTTGAGTAGGATGAACGCTCACGCTCATGATAGTGTCAACCTAGTGCACACGTGTCGCAGTTCGTGCAAGAGAGCAAACGTAATAAAGAGTCGTGACACTATCGTCAACAGGGGACGTACGTATCAATGGCAGCAGTGCAAAGCGACGGAAAGTGTCAATAGTTGTACAGCAGTGACTTTTGTTGTTAGTGTAGTTGTTGCACTTCGCAAAGGTATTTAGAAGTAAAAGTGAAATATATTAAGAACTACTTCGTTTAGCACTACGATACGTATGCCCAGAAACGGAACTACAACTTGACCATGTCAAGTTGCATATGGTCTCCGTCTCTCCCGTACAACCTGTCATTCTGACACACTATCATCCAATCAGGTGAGGTCGGACTTACCTGTACTAGGTCTTTCACTTGACCTTCAGAACCTATTTAAACTGTCATGGAAGTATTTTCTAACATTTGTATCTGTCGCTTGTAACTATATAACAATCAGAGCTTTTGCTTCACAACACACTTGTGGCTTGCAGAAGGGTGATCGGTCCGCTAGCCTTGCTTGAGAGGGCTTGCGAATTCGAAGGTGTAAATGAGAATGTAATTAAGACCTTGTTTGCTCTACCGTGTCTAACCGAATGCTTCAACTATCCCTCAGTCCATCCATCAGCGTATTCGCAGAGTAGTCGTGAGAGAGAATCCATCCATCTCTCAATCAGTTCGATGGCAGTTGTGTCGCCCATCATTTGTCACCACCATGGGCCTCGTCCTCCATGTTTAGCACGCTGTCCCTTTCCTTGTTGCCCTCCTCTACTGTCTACTTTCTCAACTTATAGCAATAAGGCTAAGACCACCGTCAAGCATTGTCAATCGCAAAATAGCGATAATGATCACGGCTCGCCGCTTCATCTTCGTGTGATGAGTTTGCTCACTGTTATCGAGATCCATGATACAGCCAACCGTACAAAATGCATAAACTGGATTCAACAAACAAAACCTCAGTCTTTTATGATTTTACTTATCATTTCACCTATACAGCGCAGAAATAATATCGGCAGCACTTGATGTCTCGACGGCGACGTCCTGGTCGTAACTCGATCTAGTTGTCGAATACATTGCGTGCCAGTTTTAATGTTAGTATCCCGCCCGCCGATCATGACTTGACCTGGTGTGCTTTAACAATTGTCGGACAGTGATCACTAACATCGAAATTCTTGTACTTTTTATCTCATCTTTACATATTCTTTTCCTGTCACTTGGTCAAAAAGGGAAGGCGGGGTACGTTTACATGAGAGCACGCTGCGTACTCATGCAAATGTACCTCTCTCTAATCTCTGATATGATTTTGTCTGTGATGGTCAAGAAGCGATCGATTTATCTTTGACATTTACGTGTGTAAATGACTTACAACGGTCCCATCCTGGTCTTGACCTCACCAATAAAAAGCGCCATTCTCCGTAATCTGGATACACGACAGAGTCTTTCAACTGACAATATCACCCGACATTAGTCGGACGCTCAGCAGAAATTGAGCTCATTCGTTCAATCCAGCTCTCAATTGTGGCAAGTCGTGAGAACTTGATGCTTGACGGCAGGTTTGTGCTCGTGCCTTCGCATCGATTGGCTTCAGACTTGATGTAAATGTGTCTTGCATCCGCAAACAATCGTTGTAAACCATGCGGTCGTCCATCTCGTGGCACATGCACAGTTTCATCCCTTTCTTGTAACGGGGCACACCCTTGCGTAACTTAACGCAAGGGTTTTGAGTGCCCCGACAGACGTACACGTGGCAAGCGAGGAAGCGTAGGTAGGGTAAAAGTAGAACTGTTATATTAATAAATTAAGT